AGCCGTGTTGTATGAGTCTGCCAGTGGGCTCCCTTCCTTAGTGTTTTCACAGCTGCCCCGGTTTTCTGGTACGGCCGGGGCTTTGGGGGAACAGCTCGGCCCCGGGGCCTGTCGTGTAGGTTCCCGGGGCTGGGGAGGGGCTGACTTGGGGGGGCCTTGGCCCCGTTGGACCCCGTGGGGTTTTTTTATCCCCCTCTAGGCGGGGCTTGTGGTTACGCGGAGTGGGGTCTTTCCTCCCCACTCGCCGTACGTGCTGTTGGACGTCGGCCCCTCCCCGGGCTTGCTTCCTTGGCCTTTGAGTCGGTTGGTTCCGTCCTGTGGGTGGATGTTTCCTCCCATCCCTTTTTGGGACGGTGTTTTTGTCATGTTTCCCCGTTCGATGGGGTTCTGCGTGACTTCTGATCTCGGGTGCGCCTGCGCCTTCGTGTGCCTTCAGGACTAGTGTTGGCTTCTGTGTTCTCGAGGGTACGGGATGGTTTTTCGCTACTTCCCGCATTATTGGAACGTCTGTCGGCTCCTCGTACTTGTCGCCCTGTTGGGCTACTTGTCGCCCTGTTGGGCTACTTGTCGCCCTGTTGGGCTACTTGTCGCCCTGTTGGGCTACTTGTCGCCCTGTTGGACTACTTGTCGCCCTGTTGGGCTACTTGTCGCCCTGTTGGGCTACTTGTCGCCCTGTTGGGCTACTTGTCGCCCTGTTGGGCTACTTGTCGCCCTGTTGGGCTACTGGTCGCCCTGTTGGGCTACTTGTCGCCCAGTTGGGCTACTTGTCGCCCGGTTGGGCTACTTGTCGCCCGGTTGGGCTACTTGTCGCCCGGTTGGGCTACTTGTCGCCCGGTTGGGCTACTTGTCGCCCGGTTGGGCTACTTGTCGCCCGGTTGGGCTCCTTGTCGCCCGGTTGGGCTCCTTGTCGCCCGGTTGGGTTCCTTTTTGGGCTCTTTGCTTCTTTGGCCGGTTTTATTGTTCCTGCTTCCTCTTTTGGCTACTTTTCTCGTGCAGTAGTCCTGGCTGGCGCCTTCCCGCAGGGAGGGTGTGCGGTTCGGCCAGCGTGTTATGCGCCTGCGCCGTGGAGTTTGTTTTGGTCTGGGCGGTGTTTCAGTGCTGGTGTTTTGCGCCCTTTTTTGCTACAGTGCTTCGCCTCTCGTTCTTCTCCCTGGCTGCGGTATGTGCCCCTTCGCGCCGGGGGTGTCCTGGTTCCCAGTTGTGGGGAGGACACCGCGGTTTTCCCTGTGTCATGGGTGTGGACCGCCTCCTTCGCCTCTCCCTGCTCTCCTGCGGGTCCGGCAGGGTCCGGCTCTGGCGTCTTCACCTGGCGGTGCTCCCAAGTTCTTCTGGGCACGGTTGAGTCGTGTCAAGTTCGTGCCACCATTCGCCAGGTGAGTTTCTGCTGTCTGGCGTCTTTTGGCCGGGCGCTGGATGCGGCGGTGTTTATATACCTGTCTTTATTTAGGTATATTTTTGTACGACTGAGACCGTTCGCACACCAGTGACTGTCCCTTTATCACCCCTTCCTGTCCCCCTCATGTGCATGTCCAACCCATGCTGGAGTCATTCAGGGGACCCTCCTTTTTTAATGTTGTGAGGTGTGGGGGTTGTAGGGTTGGTTCTGTACTCACCTGGTAAGGCTCCTGGCTGTGCTTGCAGGATTTGAGCTCTGGCTCTTGGGTCCCGCCTATCTGGTAGAACTTGCGGGATAGTACCAGTTGAGTGCAGTGGTGCTATTGGCACCTTTGGGGAACACTGTATTACCATCAGAGGTCTGTGCTTGTTACACGACCTACTTGCGAGCATAAGCCTTCTTGCTGGTTCGTCCATGGACTTCCAGGGCGCACTGGCCTGTTTTCGTATGGCAGTTCCGGCCCGTCCTGGTTGTGGGGGTATGTGGGCCGGTGGACTGCTCCTAGCAGCTGCCTGGTGGGCCATCCTCTGGCTGGTCTAGCCTGACCTTGGGCCGGGCTTCAGGTGTAAAAGAGCTCCCAGTACCTCATCCAGCAGGTATCGAGCGGGGTTTCTCCGCCGTCGGTCGCCTGGTGCAGGTTTCTGGGCCTGCAGGGTTTTGTCGTGTCTCCGTTGGCCCTGTCTGGGGTCTGCCTGCTCCGTTCTCTGCCTTTGCAGAGGGGAGTTGCTATTTACATGTTGCAGTGGTGCCTGTTGCTGCTGCTGCACGTGTGCATTGGTACCGTGTTTCACGGTGGCGTGTCCTTGTTCCTGTGTCCGGTTGTGGAGTGGCACTTTGCTGCCGTTTTGTGCCTGGGGATTGCGTGGGGTTTTTGTCCCTGCCTGCTTGTCCACCCCTGGTTGTTCTGGGTTTTTTTGTGCTTCTGCTCTTTCTTCCTGCCTCCTCTGCAGCAGGGATGTTCTGCGTGTGTTCTTAGGCGTTGGTCAGCCTGTGTCCTGTGATGTGCTTCTTTGTCTCGGTCTATTGCAGTTGTTCGTGCCCCTTGGTTCGGGTCCTGTTCTGGCGGCAACCCTTCCGCCTTCTTTGGTTTCCTAGCTTGCCCTGCCGGTTGTTTTTTTTTTTTTTTGGGGGGGGGGGGGTCTTGCGATGTCTCGCGTCGGACCCGTCGTTGTCGTTTCTGAACTCCTGGCGGGCTTGCATGCTTTGGGGAGTTTTTCTGTTCGGCAGACGTTCCATCTCCTTGTGCCACCTGGGTTTCGGTGGTCGCGCCCGAGATCTTCTCGCGGCTCCGCCTTTTTCCTGGGCTCAGAGGGGCCTTGTCGGGGCTGCTTATGTTCTGCCTCGTGGTCTCGCCTCCGGTTGGTGGTCGGGTGGCTTCGTGGTAGGTGTCCCACCTGCGTGCTTCTCTTGGCAGCAGTATGGGGTATTTTGGCGGTCCTTCCTTTTCCTGTCCCTTCTTAGGTGGTTACTCTTGTTAGCTTGGTTTACTCTCGGCTTGGTTTTCTAGTGGGGGTTGGGGGCCGTCGTCTTGCCACATACTGTCGCCTCTTTTCGTGCGGCGCAGGCGGAGCCGCTTCAGCTTGCTTTCGGTCTTGGTGTTGCTTCTGCACCGTTAGTCAGCTGTCTTGTGCGTCGTTTCACCTCCGGCCTGTTCGTGCGCCGCTTGCACCATCCTGGTCTCTGGTCAGCGTGCTCTGTCTTCTCCTCGGTTGGTAGTGCCCCTTCGGTTCCGGTGTGTTTTTTCGTCGGCTCTTTCCTTTGGGCCTTTGCCTCTGGGGGTCGAGTCGCTGAGTTATCTTGCTCCTTCGGTTTTAGCGTTTTGGTTGTTTGGTGGCAGCAGTCTCCATCTTTTCTGGCGAGGGGTGGGGCTGCTGCATTCTGGAGGGGTCCAGGGTTTGTTGGTGCTTCGTTGGTCGGGCCGGGGGGGTGTCGTTTTTGTGTTCGGTGGCAGCCCTCTGCTGTTGTTTGCGTGCCACGGCGTTTGGGTCCGGAGCGCGTTTTGCGTTGATCCGGTTCTGTTCTTCCCGGTTCGCGGGTGATAGTGTCCCGGGTGGTCAGCCGTGTTCTTGCGGCTAAACTGCCTGTGTTCTTCCCTCATGCCTGTGGCGTTCTTGTCTTCGCTGCTCTCGCTGCCGTCTGGGCGACGTGGCTTTGCGGTCTTTCGGGCATGGATTTTTGGTGTCCGTGCAGGGGCCTTGCTGCTCGTGGTTCTCGTGTTGTTCCCGGGATTTTCGAGGCTGTGGCGCCTTGGGTTGGCGTTTGCTGCCGGTTGTCTTGCCTCCTTGGGGGGTGCGTGGTGTCCGCCTCCCGGTTCTGTCTCTTTGACCTTCCTCTGTGGGTAGTTAGCTCCGGGGAGCCGACGGGGCTCCCCCCAGAAAACCAGCGTTGAATGTAATGAAACGCCATTTTCTGGGTGAGACCCGGAGGCTCCCCGGCAACCCTCCCTCCCTCCGGTCGGCGTTTTTCGCGTATTTTGACATCCAGCCTCAGAACTGATGGGTGGATAGCCGGCGTGGGAGGTCTGGGGCTCCCTCTTCCCCCTCCCGGGGAGGGGGGAGCTGCGCAGACAGCGGCGCGGTGACGTATGACGTCATACTAGTTTCCTTGTTTTCTGTTGAAGAGTTCTATCCACTAGTTCGGCTTAGGTAGCAATTTTCACCAGAATAGGGGTTTGTTTTGGAATGCTTACCTTTCTGGATGCTTGACCCGGTCGATGGCAGACATAGAATGCTTCCAACCACACGGGGGTTTCTATAGGCCATTGCTCCCCTTGCCTCTCTGAGGGGGCCAGGTTCTGGCTCGTGGTCCCCAGTAGGCCCTAGAACTCCATACACATGACTGATGCCAAAGTCTGACATTAGCATATCAGCCGGTAAAGCTCCGGGGAGCCTCCGGGTCTCACCCAGAAAATGGCGTTTCATTACATTCAACGCTGGTTTTTTTACATTCAGCCTAAGAACTGCCAGTTGGATCGCCGGCTTAGAGGGTCTGTGGCTCTCCCTTCCCCTTCCTGGGGAGGGGGTGGGTTGCGCAGGCGTTGGTGCGGCGACGTGATGACGTCATGCTAGTTTGATAATTTTGTTTGGGGAGTTCTGTCCACTTGTTCGGCTTTCAGTAGCAATATTTTCACCAGAATAGGGGTTTGTTTTGGGGCGCCTACCTTTCTGGGTGCCTATCCTGGTCGATGGTAGACATAAAATGCTCTCAACCCCAAGGGGGTTTCTATAGGCCATTGCTCCTCGTGCCTCTCTGAGGAGGCCAGGTTCTGGCTCGTGGTCCTCGGTAGGCAAGAACTCCTAGCACTTTGACTGATGCCAGAAAATGATACATATCCATTCAGCCTAGATAGCTCCGGGGAGCCTCCGGGACTCACCCAGAAAATGGCATTTCATTACATTCAACGCTGGTTTTTTAGAATATCAGGGAAGGCGTTCAAGTGATTTTCACTTTTCTCAAGTTCGTTCATTTGCTGTGTATTAAGCTGATTACTGTTAATCAAATCTTGTCTTGATAAATGTTTAGCATATATTGGAACTGAGTATGAGTATACTGTCAATGGTCAATCGTTGAAATATGAGATTAATAGCTGATATATTATTGTTAGGAAGAACGGCAAGCTTGTGGACATGCCAAACTTCTCCTGGCAAGGTACTCTGAAGAATCAGCCACACTGGAGGTGAACACAGTCAAGCAGTACTATCGTGATGCATGTGAGATCAACAAATCCTGGGAAGATGGACATTTTCATTTGGCAATGTATTATGACCGCATATTGAGCTCCTTAGAAATGAAGGAAAAGCCAGTAGAATGGATTCATCACATTGTTCTGAGGTCAGTAAGATTAGTTAATTTGTCACTGCCATCAAGCCTTAAGCATAACTTTTGTGAGTTTGTACCTCGGTTCTGATTCCAGTTTTCTTTTTGTTTTGTTTTATTCAACCTTAAATAATCATTTTCTTTTAATATTTTAGCAATGTATTAACTGGTAGTACAATCAGGTCTTCATATCATGAAGACATTAACTAAAGAATTATTTTTACCTGTTGGATTGGCATGTTTGTAAGATGTTAATATTAGTGATGTGAGGGGAAAGACAACTGTGACTTTTGATAATACATTTATTGACATACATTTACTGATAATACATTTCTTGATAAACTAAATACAATACCATTATGCGTGAATGAAAGTGTAGACTGACCTAATACATGTATGAAGTGAATTACTAAACCAAACTTTTGGATAACACCTACATCCTTTATCAATGCACTGTAAACAATGTTATTATAATATTAATGTTATCATAACCTTGTTAACCGAACCTTCATAAAGGATGTAGATTTCATCCGAAAGTTTGGTTTAGTTTTTTGGTTTACACATGTATTAGGTCTTTTCTTCACCTTCAATACATTTAATGTAATACATTCATTGATAATACATTAATTTTTAAAACCTTTTCCATAGTTTTGGGAAGTCTCTTCAGCATGGATGTCGTCATATTTACCAGTCGATGCCAAGGATGCTGGGTTTGTGGCTTGAGTTTGGCACAAGAGTCAGTGAACTGGAAGCTAAAGAAGAAAAGGGAAAAGGCAACCGAAAGAACATTGTTCTTGACAATTACCGGGAAAAGCTGGCCAATTTAAATGGCAGTGTTGGTAAGATTCATGATGCAGATTCTAACTAAGGTTACATCTTGCACTGATTATATTTGAGTCATATGAATATTGATTGTTAGACATTTTTGTAGGTAATTCATAAATTCTGGAATTTGAATTTGCTTGCCAGCCTTGTATACATTTTATTGTAGACAGTCAAGCATTATTTAAATTGTGATACAGTACAACCTTGATTCAATGAACTATATGGGACCAACCCCCAATTCGTTGCAGTGAGGGATTCTTGTGAAGAGTAGATACTTGCAATGTTGCATCCATCCATTAAATCATTCAAAATGTGATTTGGAGCAATGTTAAGAGTTGCCATTCATACCCTAATATTTCTCATGCTCTATGGGGTAATTTCACTGAGTGAAATTTTAATTTAAAACTGTCTTATGAAAGACACCTACCAAGAAAACCTGTCTGTAGAAAGATTTAACCACATCTGGCATGTTTCCCATGCCCTAGCCTCAAAATCTAATTTTCAGTGGTAAAAGGAGCTAATGTTTTACAATTGGAAATAAAAATGAATCATAGAATTTATTCTAAATATACTCAATGGCTTTCCCAAAGACCCCCCCAACTTTTTTTTTTATTCTTGTGTCCATCTATAAAAATCATTAAAAAATCAGCGTTGAATGAATGAAACACCATTTTCTGGGTGAGACCCGGAGGCTCCTCGGAGCTTACTAGACTGATATGCTAATGTCAGACTTTGGCATCAGTCAAAGTATGGAGTTCTGTGGGCCTACCGGCAACCACGAGCCAGAACCTGACACCCTCAGAGAGGCAAGGGCAGCAATGGCCTATAGAAACCTCCATGTGTTTGGAAGCATTCTATGTCTGCCATCGACCGGGTCAGGCACCCAGAAAGGTAAGCATCCTAAAACAAACCCCTATTCTGGTGAAATTATTGCAACCAGAAGCCGAACAAGTGGATAGAACTCCCCCTAAAAGAAACGAGCAAATGAGCATGACATCACACGTCGCCACTGTCTGCGCAGCTCCCCCTCCCCGAGAGGGGAAAGGAGGAGTCCCAGACCCCTCACACTGGTTATCCACCCTTCAGTTCTGAGGCTGGATGTCAAAACATGCGAAAAACCGCTGACCAGAGGGAGGGATGCTGGGGAGCCTCCAGGTTTCACCCAGAAAATGACATATCATTACATTCAACGCTGGTTTTCTGGGGGGGGGGCCCTTCGGCTCCCCGGAGCTAACTACCCACAGAGGAAATAATAAGGACTTACCCGGGAGGCGGTCATCGCTCACTCCTCAACTCAAAGTCGAGACAACTGGCTGCAACCGACAACCCAAGGCGACACAGGCCCGAATGGACCTGGGAACATCTACAAGGTAACGAGCAACCAGGTCCGCCAAAAGCCCCGTGCCCGAATATCAGCCAGGACATGTCGCCAAAGATGGCAGCAAGAGCAGAGAACTTACGAACGTCATGGGAACGGGGATAGAACGCAGGCTGGCTAGCCTTAATAACTCGGCGGACGACCTGGGAGACCCTCACCCGCGAACAGGGAAGAAGGTAACCGAATCTACCCAAAGCGCGTCCAGGACACAGAAGCTGTGGCGCGCAAATAACAATGGAGGGCCGCAACCGGACACAAAATACGATGCACCCCCGGCCCGACCAACCAAGCACCAACAACCCAAGGACCCCTCTGGAAACAGCAGTCTCATACTGTGCCAGAAAAGAGGGAGACGGCTGCAACTGAACAAACCTATCGCTACGACCGAAGGAGCAGAAACTCCTGCACCGGAGGAGAGCAGGAAGCTCACCGACCCGACCCCTAGAGGCAAATGCCAACAGGAAAAAAGCCTTCGAGAAACAGTCCCGAACTGAAGGGGCCGCAACAAACCAAGGAGATGAAGAATAGAGAGCACGCTGTCCAAAGACCAGGACGGTTCAGGCGGTGCATGAGCAGGCCGGAGGTGAAAAAACGCATGAGACAGCTTGCGAAACGGAGCAGATGTAACACCAAGACCGAAAGCAAGCTGAAGCGGCTCAGCCAGCGCTGCACGATACGAGGCGACAGTATGCGGCAAGATGACGACCCCGAACCTTCACAAGAGAAAGATATTGGGTATCTGGGGCTTTAACTCATATATTAAATTATTTGATTATTATGATTAACATAAATCGAAGGACCACCCACTTTTAAGAAAAGAGGGAAAACGAATAAAGGTGATTATTAGATTGACACTATAGAACCAGTGCCTATGTACGATATTTAACTTAACAATCACTTGAAGATAATGAATAGACTGTATTATTAATTAATTAAAATCAAAGCCTCAAATATCAACATTGGGGGGTTATTTCTAGAAGTTCATATATATCTAGAAACCAGTGTGGTTCGTCACTAGTTCATTAAGTAGTTAGTAACATGGCAAATCTGAACTAACTATAGATTCAAAGATATGACATATCAAATAATGAATATATTGAAAGATTATGAAATGTTGAGCAGCAATAAGAGCAAAACACATTAAATACCAAACCATAAATTCTGGCATTAAATTATTCACTGTAAATATCCTATATATGAATTTATATAGAAACTAATAATAATCTTAGCTAAATTTATACGAAAACAGGTGTCTTAGCTGTAAGATGACCTGTAATTCTGTTTCGTTACTCGTCCTCGTGACCACAAGATACCAATAAAGAAGGAACCAGTGGAGAATATCGTGAGTGAAGAGAGACAACTTGTTGACTCCTCGTCTACATGCTGCAATCAGGGAAATTTAAGTAGCATTTTATTAGGCTGTGAATTATTTTAATATTCATTGAAATTGAAATAAATTAAGAAAATCAACTAATGTGTTGTTGTTATTCTTGCTATATAAAGACAGACTATCCACAAATACACGATCTTGAATGATGCATCAAACCAGAATAGTATACTTAACGTGAGCGAGCCAGAACACTAAAGTCTGCCGAAATCGCGTCTGCCAGTCCCTGGCGTCCACTGCCGTGTACGCGTAATTACAGGCCGTAACTTCAATTGTTGACGCGTTATTAATTGGTAGGGCACTGTAGAACACGTGAGGAGGTAATTGGTGACTATCAGTGGCGCTGCAACGTAATTAATGTTGGAAAACTCTTCAGTCACACCACCACCACGCGACTTCCCTTCCTAATCGCCAGTCAGACACGTGAGGAATGGCGGCTCGCCGCCAGCGTCTCCCTCAACCCCCTCTCTTGCATTCGCAATTGAATTTAGTAATCACGGAGAATTCTTTTCCGTGTAATTACTGACGTAAATGCGTTAAAGGAATAGGGGTTGCAGTTGTAGGGAATTAAATATTGTTTATATTCTCGCTAGATGGTGTTGATTAAGCACCGTTTCCTTATTAACGAGAAATGGGAAGTATTTCCATGGCATTCGTATATAACAGATAAAACTGTTATTTAGTGATAATCTTAGTTAATAACTCATAGTTATTGGATCATTAGGAGTTGTATTATCCATAATTAATTATTATACAGAATACTGATAAAAGTAGAGAACCATATTCAATTCTCTAACATATTGGTAATAAATATGTCTAGATAGACAATATCTGACGCAATCCTGCCTCTCGATGTCGTGAGAATTTCAGCAATTATTACACAGATAAAGAAATATTAATTTATGTTAGCATTACAGTTAGTAAAGTTAACTGACACTGTGGTTAATATACAACAGTAGTGTATTGTGATACAATAGAGATGTATCAGTGTTGGAAATTTCCAACAAAAGACAAGCCGACGCCAACAAATGCAGCCACCTAAGAAGGGACAGAAGGAAAAGGAAGGACTGCCAAAAAACCCCACACTGCCTCCAAGAAGAAGCACGCAGGTGGGACACCAGCAATGAAGCCACCTGACCACCAACCGAAGGTGAGAGACTTGAGGCAGAACCGAACCAGCCCCACCATGGACCAATCGAGTCTAGGAAAAGGCAGAGCCGCAGGAAGATATCGGGTGCGACCACCGAGCAAGCAGAGCCGGAAACCCAAGCCGGCAAAGGAGGAGATGGAACGTCTCCCGAACAGAAAACTCCCCAACGCCAGCAAGCCCGCCAGAAGATCAGAGACCACGGGTCCGACGCGATACTCCAGAGAAGGGACACCGCAAGACCCAGAAAATGCCAACAGGCAGGGCAAGCCAGGAAAACAGGAACCCAAACCTGGCAATAGGAGAGCCAAAAGGCACAAACAAAAGACACAACAGTGTGTACGATAAAACGAGAAAATGACCAGAAGAACAGTCCCAGCTCCGGCGGCCAGGGACAAGAGTGAAGCAGGAAGATGATGGACGAAGAAGGCATGCAGCAAATCGGGAACGAAAGGGACACGACCAACCCACTGAGTCGCAGGACCTGTCCCAACAAATCAAACTGAATAAGGTGCAAAGGTTTGCCACCAGACTAGTACCCGAAACCGAGGGGTACAAGCAACGAAGACAGACTAAGGAACAGAAGGGGCACACACACCATGAGACACAGGTGGAATTGAGCGCCCAAAGGAGCCATAGAAATGCAAGAAAGAAAAACTCCAGTGAGAGTAGTAAACAAATGGAATACATGAGGAAGGGAAGTGGTGGAGGCTGACCCCACACACAGCTGCAAGTGCAGACATGACAGAGCCCAGTAGTTGTCAGGTAAGTGACAGGAGAGGCAGGACGAAAGAGCCAAAGCTCAACCCCAGCAAGCACAACCAGGGGCGGACAACTAGGTGAATACAGAAAAACCAATCTACGTGGAAGGGCTAAGCTAGGCACTCCAAGACGGGAAAGGAATGAGGGACCCCAGAGAAGACCATTAAAAACAACACAATCAATCCCCAACACGCATCCCCAGTCACAAAACTGCAGCAAAACGTCACCTCACAACATCCTGACACAGTAACATTTACCACGTAACCTGCACCTCAACCATCGTACCTCGTAACATGGATGAGGAGGGGTCCTGTGAATGACTCAAGCATGGGTTGGACAT